ATGCGCAAAGACTTACTGGTTAGTTCTTCCTACAAAAGCTGTTGAACGCACTTGAAAAGCTCATCATAACTGAAACAACAGATGGTTTTTGTCTTAAGTAAATTTGCTACCGAAATCTATCAGTACACCAGATAAAGGTCATTACTGTAGCTCAACATGGCTTCTTTGCAGGTCTCATCTTTGGCAGTACTGGAAGATGCTACAGAACGAATGCGAATCAGTACAGTTGCAATGGGGCATGTTCGACTACGATTGTACGTTATTACCCGTCATTTCGAGCAGTTCGGTATTCTTTCATGATCCTAGAATGCTAAATAAATAATCAAAACTAGTTTCACTTAACAAGAACGGTCTAAAACAGTAAACATGAATGATACCGTACAATACCAACCATTCAAATTCTCTGACACTTTGATATATCTTTTACTTCTTGCACAACAAGCTGCAGAATTTCCTTGGCGTCTTCGTTTGAATTTTCATGCAGAGTTTTCAATAACGTAATTACCTTCTACTATACTTCTGATACAAGACAGTTATGAGAACACGATGTAGCCGAGGCAGAGCTGGTGTAGGGAAAAATGACGCACTATCAAAATGCATGGTCCAGGGATCGAATTCCGGATCGATATCCGCTTAGACCATCAAGCCTTCCATCTCTCCAGGTTCGATCAATTGGTATCAGACTTGTCTGGGAGGATAAAAGCACTGACGTGTACGTTGGCTAGTCACCGAAAGTCATTGTCATAGGCCACATATGCGTTCAATAAGCCAGCACGATTTTAAATGGAAGTCGGATTCGGTGCGCATCCCAAGACCAGATTAATTATCGGCAAAATTTTTATCGTTCGTCTTGAGGTGTACGCGAGGGGACCATGAATTCACATATGTAGATATACTGATTTCTTCTTGTTTGGCTCGATTTCGATTAAACTTATGAGGACAGACAAAAATACTGGCATCAGACGATAAATCGACGATTGACTTCTTGGGAGTCGGTCAATTTATCAGTATTGATCAACCGCCATGCAAACACTCTTGCACCTTTGAATTAAGGCGGAATGCATGGCTTAATCCAAAGAGTTAAGAAACACTGTGTTCTCCATGTCCTTCCATCTTTCAAGCCTGTATCATGGATCATTATACGCTAATCAACAAATCGATCCAAAATCGAGCTGGGACTCTTACTCCAGCACCTATCGATCTGTGTGTCTTCTGAATGATCGGAAATGTCACGAGTTTAGAAATTATCATATTTATCATATAGATTAATAGATATATTGTCATAGTTCCATCACAAACGCGTCATTATGAACTCGATTGTAGTATGTCGACGGCATGATGGTCACAAAATGCGTCACGGAGGCAGGTTTGTTAATCCCATAAATCAACTCAATCCATTAAACTCATCTAGGAAGCAGAAAAAAAGAAAATACAGGGGAAAAAGGGAAACAGAGAGAGAGGAACAAAAAGAGAGACAGACAGGGGAAGTATAACCCTCACAATTCTAGGCACGGATAAATGTACGAGTGCGCCTTGGCCCGTAGTCATCGTTTTCGGTACAAAGACATGCAAAAAAATGAAAAGGCACAAAAATTGATAAGAAACAGAAAAAGTAAAAAAATGAACACAAACAAGGGAGAACTATTTACAATGAGTAAGGAATTCAAACAAACATTGCTATACGCGTCGCTCGGAAAGCTAATTTACCGACTGTTACTCGAAAATCCGAGCTGACATCAAATCAAACTGACATCCAAAATGAACATAAGAAGACCTATCGATACAGCGGAGTTACCAGTTACCATTACAGTAAACATATGACCGTAATTCATAACAGCATTGTATGCTACCTCATTTCTACTTTATTTAAAGCTAGCAGAATGCTGGCTTCAAAAAGAGAAGGAGGTGGAGCTATGAAAATCGCTACCGTAATCAATCGAGAAATGCAAACATGCCGAGTTGCATGAATTCGTGGCATGTTTGCGATTGCACTCTATGATGGCGATACGATACCGTAATCCTACGATCAGTAGCATCAATTATTGATTGGACGGAGATCATTATAAATCATTATTGACTGGCAACGGTGTTTTCAACGTCAACGTGGGCGTCTTCAGGCTGTCACATGGGAATTTGAAGAGGCTGTTGTTCAACGACGACAACACATTCGCCGGGCTCATCATCGTTGCCAACGGATGCATCAGACTATTGGCTCCACCGCCAGTATTTGGTGCTGATACCGGAGGAAATTGGAAGATATGAGGCCCGGCGGCTGTCGGCGTTGTCAATGGTGACCTGTAACAATAACTAAAACTAAAAAGCGTCTTAGAAAAGGGGATATCATCTGTCAGCACTGCAATAGTGATAAGATAATGCGAAAAATCGTCACCAACCCAGACTAAACTTTTGAACGTTAGGACTTTAATCCTTTTTTCAAACTGATACGATAAAAGTTAACAATCACTTTAAGTTTGCTTTGGCAACTATGTTTATGAGTTTTACTCTCGGAGGTGTAAACATTGCCACTCCAGCAGGTCAGCAGGTTGTTAGTAAGCAAAAGTTGGAGAAATTCCTAGTTAAATGTTATCCACCTACTAAGTGGTAAAATGGTGAAACTGGTTCAGGCGCTACCGGAACCGAGAAGCTTTCATTATCATGGAAGAACAGCGGGCGTTTGCGTTACTGTCTTATCCTGACAAACCTAAGAGCTTCTAGTCGGTCAAGCCGGCAGCTCGATAACTTGTCTGCGAGAAGAGAAAACAGAAGCGTGAACACCGGGCCGTCTTTGGTGATGGATCAGTGTATTGAATATTCATCCAGACATCTGTATGACCCCGTGCTGAAGAAGTATACCTGGCGTAAATCGGAAGACCACTGCCGACAGAGGCATTAAAAAACACGACAAAAACACAAATTTCCATTTCACAGGCGGAAGGTCCGGCCATCAGACAATGGGCACTTTGTCACTTTGCTCTAAGGACATGTCTTTGGCGCTTATTCAGCGTTCTTGTTCGACAAGATAAATGATGGGCGGTTGCCGACAATCACTGCGTAGAGCTATTGACCCCATTCTCCAGCGCTGATTTGACAACTACTGCTAGGGTATGATTCATAGCAATTACTAAAGAAAAACCTGAAAAAAAAAACATAAAACTAACCGAAAAGGTGACGTAGCCATAGCAGCGAGTACAGGCGAATTCGGGGCGAATATCGGCGTTGTCGAGGCAAGTGCATAGAGCTGAAGTCGATGTTGCAATAGTAATGGCGACATCTGTTGCATCAATTGCATGTGATAGGGTGAGATTGCGCCATGAGGAAGACTCGGCGACAAAAGTTGAGTGGTTGCCGACAGATTCAGCGGGTCCGGACGTTGGCGACGTGGAACCTAAACAGTACAATCATTACTTGGATCCCACCAAACGAAGAAGTTTTCCTTCTGCAGTAACCAAAAAAGGAGGAGGCGATGTTCCTAGTAAATGTATAATAAAATTGCTACTGTAATCCATAGACCAACCACCGCTATCGGTGATGCACGTCGCTTCCTGGACGAATCAGAATGCACTGACGCCGGTCTCGATGATGGTCCAGGAGGAGTGACGCTGAGCGTCGGCAATGACGACACACCGGATGACGAACCAGCACTATGCGCCGAACATGAGCTGAAGTGAATAAATAAAGTGACTGTGAACAAAAAAAAAACTGCGAAAATTTCGGATAACTCGGAAGAATTGACGACTCAGGGTGATATCTTCAAGGAAAACGATTTCAAAATTGAAAATCGCAATTCTCCAAAAAACCGTCCAAGAATATTTAAGCTCTAGGTTTTCCACGAATCATACCAACAAGTGATACTAATCCCATGTGCATTGAAAGATAGAAATATGTAGATAGTTGATGAAAAAATGTAATATTTTCAAAAGAAAAAAGTGTTTTTATGGTGCTCCAATTTTCATAACCGTACTTCTGAACTTTATAGGTGTCATTTGAAGTTAGGGACTTGGAAATTTCGAATCATCTCGAAATGTGTGGAATTTATAAAAGCCAAAGACTGAAACTATCAGAAAACTGAAGGGCAGCCTTTTTTAGAACTACCCTTCTCTTCCATTTTCTTTCCCCATACCTCGACTGCAGTCACGACAGACCAACTTTCGCAACTTACTGAACAGTACCATTTTCAATCATTTTTTCTTACTACAAATTTTGATAGGTTTGAGATGGAGCAGGGACAAAGAGCTTCACTGCATTCTTATGGGCATAGGATCTTATCTCACCCAGATCAGACCAATTGATCTGTCCAGTGAAAAGTCGGTATCAAACCTAAAGGGACAAGTGAATCGCCATACACCTCACCGGCAGGTTGCGGAAGGACAGACACCAGCAGAGACTGATACTTTAAATACAAGTCTAACATTATACAAATCACAAGGATCAGGACTGACAGCTCAAGGCCTACTTCAGTACATACCTTATTGACTTACTTAATGGGGTTGACTACCAACATCTAGGGTTTCACACAGTCGGCACCATAGGACCATGCTTATAGTTCGTTCGAACCACTCACTCCCAAGACCCCTTCAACAACTCGTCTTTACCCCTGCCTAGTCAGCTTCGTAATCTCATTCTGCCTTTATTCACTGATGGGTCATCGTAAGGTTGTAGTAAATCGACCGCCGATGCGTTCTTCCTCTTGCGTCACGTAACCGTTCACATCTCTCCGCTCCACCGGGCTATAAACACGCGGCTCCAGACTGTTCAATAGTTCCCCATCCCATCACCAAATTTATCACTTTCCAAACACCCACGCTCCAATGATTCACAGCGCGAAGTAATGCAAACACGTAGTATCTCTTTCATTGTACACCCGATAACAGCACAATCATGTGAGGGCCACCGTCACACTTCCAACAGGAGCTCTAAATCTTCAAAAACTACTGACAGACGGTGACATGCTACTCTAGAGTCACAAATTTCTACAAGGCTCTCAACAGTACTCATTCCCATTTAAGGGATGCGCCGGGCCTTCAATTTCCATTCAGGATCACAGTGGCATTTTGAAAGCATATATGGACTACAAAACGAATTGCTGTGAACAACCGATGACAAATCAGTGCTTTTATACTCTCTGGCGAGCCTGGCACAAAGTGAGCGACCTTAAAAGGTGGAAGACTCGGCTGAACTGGTCGGGTGAACCGGGATCATAGTGCACCACTTCGCAATAGTAACCTCAGCCATTACCCACTCCTTCATTTAATTAAAATATGTAGATGTCGCAATCATGTAATCTATATGTCCGGCAAAGTCCACGGCTGAGGGATCGCCCTTAATTGGGAGGAAATTCATGACAAACGACGCTCGTAAAGGCCCTTATCACTCGAGAACGCGCTCATAAAGAACCAGTCTATTTTCTCGGAAGGAACGATCACCTCCGTTGATAAGCAGATGACAAAAAGCATTTTTGAGGTGTCTCATTCGCTCATATTTATTATAAGCATTGAACAGACACCATAAAATGATATGAAACCGGACGTCTGTGGTTTTCTCTTATCACGGCTTTGTTATTGAAGAAGGGATTAAACGCTCAGAAATGACAGACTTCTGACAGCTTTTCTAGCAAAACTCAGGAAGCACATAGAACGTTTTTCTACAACAGCAAATAAATTGTACCTATTGGTTGGAGACGGTGTGGAGGCACTTGCTGCTGTACTAGTACCACTCAAGTTCAACGTGGTCAATTCCGGTTGGGTTGCATAGCTGGTAAGGATGGGCATCGACGACGTATCTGCAAATAAGACGGTGAGTGAGTATGAAGTGAACGCAGGCGATCGGAAAATTTGAAAGAAATTTGAGGAGTTCGTCACAATTATACGGTCGCCTTGATTTTCAAATCTGACTGACTACAACGATTACTTCAAGAACCAGAGTAATCGTCCACAATCACCCTCCTTTTACTACCACTTGTATACCCTACTTTTTGGATTAAGGGGTTTTTGAGTGCGATTTCAATTTGTTCAAATATTTCCATGAGTACTCGATGGCCATCATCGAAAAATAATCGAATCCGCTTGTGATAGCCCATAAAAACGTCCACCGATGGATGTGACAGCTCGACGGTTACACCTGGTCACAGCAGAGCACTGGAGAAAACGTCCCGTAAAACATTCACATTAGGAAGAGAAATTAGTTCATTTAGGCCCCGTTTAATGAACATCTGCTCTACAGTCCAGTGATTTTTCATCAAAAACTGCTCTTCAAAAGGTCTTCCTCTCGATAACATCAACAAATCAGTGGCATCGTCAGCAAATCGCGCTCTGTACCGCGACGAATTAACGTGACGTTTCCATTTGCTTTTTTGTTCAATGACGATGTCTCTTGATGAAATAGAAAACGACATACCATGATCCGGCTTATTTGGTTCTTCCTTGACAATGCTCGTTGTCGTCGTCGTTGTCGTCACCGTTGTCAGTGGTGCTGGTGGCGGGGGTGCTGGTGGTGGAGCTGCAGGGACTTGTGAAGGATGAATGTCAGACTTCGCTGTTACACTGGTATTGCTCATCGCCCGACACAGACTCATATTATATGCAACTGGTTCGGTGATGTTTGTCTCGACGAAACGATAAACAAACTTCTGACCAATCACCTGTAACGAAAGTTAAACTGTAAGATGAAAGTAAGATTGATCATCAGAGTTCAAAATACTGACAAATCATATCTACGGAACGCGAGTTCATCGCACCAAAAAAAAATTCCAGACAAATTAGAAGGGTTGTGATAGGTTAAGGTAATAACTAATACCAAAAACGCAGAAGGAATCGGACAAAGTTTTTTTTTCGAATATCTCTCAATTTCAAGGGCCATAAAAGCTTCGATTAGAGATAATCACTCGTTTTTTTTCAGAAACGTCAGCGTTACTTGTCATTTCTCTATTCTTGCCCCACAAAACAGCAAAGTCCTCACTTTCGAATGGGAGTTTCACTAAAACTTATTCCCGAACCGAGCAGAAGTTTTCAAGTGTTAATTTACTTTACCTAAAAATAGAATTCGTCTGAATCATTCCGGCTTTTATCATTCTTTTTGTATTTGCTAATTCTAATTACTAATATGGAATCAAAATGAGAGTTAAATCTAGGAAAAGCTCATTATGCGCTCCATTAATTATTGAATGAGATCAAACAAAGACTGAAAAGGGACTGACCTTTTTAATGATATTTTTATCGTAGTAATATCGAAGTGCCCTTGATAATTTGTCGTAATTCATATGCGGTTTCGCTTTACGCTGTCCCCACAGCCGTGCGACAGCCTCAGCATCCAAAAGCTGAAAGACACAACTACCATCAGCAAGTCAAACAAATAAAAAATATTTACAAAAAGGATGGAGAATGAGGTTTTGACGCTTTCATCTATTTCCACTCAGCATTCAATGTTAATGAGGATATACGGTCTATGTCAAGGCTTCGGGAACAGCTAATGCTGAATTCAGTGGTTTGCCCTTCTGATCTGTTTGGAGCTCTGCCAAGGAAATAGAAGGCTCGAGTACCGGAACAGGTCTTGATTCAGTATTTGAGCTATGACCCAACGTTTTAACAAAAACGGAACAAAAACTAATTTTCACAGGTTGCCAGAGTTTGAAAGGGAGTTCCCCACCAGCACTTCGTTAGTGTTCCCGTGTTATTACGTCCGCCTCGTGATGCAAATGACAACTACTTACTGTAGCAGCAGAAAAAAAGCTGTCCATTGAGACCAGAAACAAGAACTATAATGACAAATGGACAGGAAAGGGTAGCTGATCAATCATTGTCAAAGACAAACTTCTTCTTCATTCCATTGACACCACACTACCCCACCCTATTAACACCTATCCAAAGATCCTCGACATTATGAAGAAACCCAAACATATGGCGCACTCCGAGAAATCTGACCTTTGGTAGACCCTTTAAACGCATATTTTCACAGCAATCATTACTGCACCAAATTGCCACCGCGCCCTTTCACTCGTTTTCATCAGCAAAACAATGAAAGATGACGTTGGCATCACGCCAACACCACTTTACATCACATTAATGGCAGCGATAGGAACTCACCTTGAATTCGCCTTCCCGATTTGTCCACTGAATCAGTTGTGGATGTTCACCTTGTACTAGTAATTCCAATAAGAATTGCCACAATGTAATATTTGAATCAACCGGTGTTCTATTTGAGAATTCATTATCGTGACGGGCAGTTAAGCCTACAGAAGGCATAGTGTCCATCATTATCAGACCAATTTCTGGAGCAATAGCTGTTCGATGTTTTCAGCGAAGTTAGAAATGGCCTTGTAATCTGTAAATTAGGCTTTTACAAAAAATATTCGCTAATAAACTTCAAACGCAGACGAAGGAAAATCGTACTTCGAACGAAAAAAATTGCTTACAGAAGAAAAATCAATAGAACAGATCGATAAACGACCGGAAAGCTACGAGATAGTGACAAAATGACTTGCAAGGAAGGATGATGAATAAGGAAAGATGAAGAACACGTCTTAACTTGTTAGTACAAGAGAATCTTGAGGGTACATCCAGCGCACTTGTTAAAACATGTTTAAATGGGAAAATTCATCTATAAAATCCTCCAAAATGATTTTTCCATATGACTGAGTGGGGAGGAAAATGAACAGCGAAGTGCCCCGTTGCCTGATGACAGTAATAATCAGTCTTCAGTGTCATTAATGAGGGATTAGAAGGATAAGTTCAGGACGTTATTTTATAACAATGGTACCTGAAAGCGTATGAAGATATGAAAAAACGCTTGGCTAATCCATACTCAGAGAGCAATCCTCTTTTGTGATTTCCTACATAAACCTATAGAGAATTCTAGGCATAGCTTTATCAGGGCGAATTAAATAGGAATTAAAGCTCTTTTCTATCTGTCCTATGGGAAGCTTCTTGCAACCGGTTCAGGGAAAAGCCTCCTTTTACCTGTAAATAACACATTCCCACATGTATTGCTTCGTTTTGACATGTTAACCAACTATCAGTAAACAGTAGTAAACATGTTTGGCGAACAGCGCGCAAAGGGGCTCCCAAGAACGCCCAGTCTCCGCCATGAAATCGGGAAAGATAGCAGTTCCCTACAGCCTGGAAACGGGTAGCTCTTCCGATTCAATTTTGAAGTAGGTGCCGAATACCTCAGGGTGGTCGCAATAGAGAGGAACATGAGTACGGTATGATGGGTTCGGGCGAATGCATATTGCGGATTTTAATCGTTAACCTAATTGCCAAATTAATGTTCATGTGGATGTGTGATGTTGTTCGAAGTGATTAGAAGACAACAACCGGGACGCCGATCAATATCATCATCACTGGCAACAACGGAGAGAGGGCGGAAGACGATCGGAAGTGAAGGAGAGCGCCAACATTGAGATGGAACCCGTTTATGGTGATGACGAGACGCGGCGCTCTGTCTATGTGTGACGACTGTCCCGTGTCCTCACTGCATCCATCGCCACAACACTGATGTCTTCTGGCGCCAGCTGGGGTCCACAGAGTTCGTTTCCGCTCAGTGGCATCTTTTCTTTGTGAAGAATGACGTCAAAAGCGGTTGATTCTCATTCTGAAGAGATCGGGGTGATTTGGGTAATCTGCGAGGCCTTATAATGCCGATGTCGCGACAAGCACGCGATTACGACGAGCAGTTAAGTGATTTGCTATAACAAAGGCCAGTAATGGCCATTAACGGTTCGGGCCTTGTGTCCTCATCCCTAAAATCCCATGTTCACTTCTTGGACGGCGAGCTAAAACAGTACAGTATGACTACAGTACCAAAAAGCTGGAATATATTTTCTTGTGGGCAAGTTCTTTCAGTCGACAGCCCCTGCTGTGCTTATTCTTTCGACGAGTGGAGTTGATTCTACTGGTGAAGACATTTGCATAACCTATGCAGGTAGGAATGCGTTCAACCAACAAGGTGGCCATCGCAATGAGTCCATTTCTATGAGAACAAAGCCCTAAACGATAGCCGGTCCTCGCTTGACATGGTGTAGGCCTGAATGGTTGAAATATCTTTGTAATGTCGGACAGGTATGTGATGTATGGCACACTCCAAATATCTGAATTACCAACAGGAACACCTTTTCTCCACTGTTTAGAAATTTCATAATTTTTTTTTTCGAAAACGTCTGCTCGTTGTTGGAAGCAAAAAACATATTATATCAACGGGGGAACTGTATTTCCAGTAACCTTTTAACATCAGCTGATTGATCAGGAGAACGCAAAATTCAAAATTAATTTTCCAACAAATTCTACAGAAACTACATAGACTAGACTTACCACAATTTGGCTAAGAATCACTTTCACATTCACATCAAACCCTTCTGGGACATCATTTCTCATCCTTTACCTACGGGCGAGACTGTTTACTGCCAAAGTACCTGATGTGCCTGAATAAACCGGTTTGTTAGAATGTTTGGACTGATTTATTTCTTGAAAAGGTCGTAATAGATGTTAGACAATTCGTCTCGCGAACTTAGCCACTTAAGAGTGAGAATTGATTTGGAAAGGAAATATCAAGACATCCCGGAGTACTTTCTGGACCCTCGATGTGGTAGGGAAATGGGAATTGGAATGAGGAAAAGTTCTTTCAAGCGCTTCAATCTGTAAGAAGCTCGGAGAAAACATCTCTAGTTTCATAAAACTAATAAGAAAAACTAATTTTTAATATAATACTTAAAAACGGTTCCTTTAAGTGATACATGCACCCGATTGAAAGGTCCAGATAAGCAGTGCCGAGAGCCCGTTGGAAGAATTATTTATAAGAGAAGAACAATAGAAAAAGCCGAAGGAACTCATTAAAGGCGGTGTAAGAGCCTTCAAAAAGTGCTGTTTTTGGAACAAGCTCGGGACGACGACAGGTGGAACACTCCAATACTCCTCAGTGAAGTAGAAAACACACGCACAAACACAAACAAAACAAACACCAACACCCCTAAGACTGAACATACACAGCGACAGAACACAGCAGCCGTAAATAGTGAGTGCTGCAAGTAGCCACTAGAAGTCAAGGGTTTAATGGGAAAGATGTGTCACGTCTGGAATACGCCAGAAAACACTTGGATAAACGACAGACATAGAAGGTAAAAAGAACTTTTTTTCGAATTTCAAGGTGAATTCAATTCTTTGATCGCATTTCAAAATAGATGGGCTTATCGTTCAGTTGACCCTTCGACAGCCCCCGACATGTTTCGATTGGAATGCGCCACACATTCTACTTCGAGTCTTGGTCGGAAGGGGTATTTTGGAGAGTGCCGATCCCACTGGTGCTCATGTTGGTGGTGCCTCAAACCAATGCCCACGAATGTCTGGATTGAGTAGCTCATCGAATATGAAAGCGATTCTCAATTGGGAAACCGTAAAGCGGAAAATCGTAATTTTGAGACAAATCCCCTTTTTATGTGAATTTCCCGAGTCATCTTCTCTATGGGGAAATTGAGGAAACGGTGAATCAGGCGAATTCAAAAAGTGGAGAATTCACAACGTCGTCACACCTCAGTAATGCCGAGAGTGACCAGCGAGCATAGCAAGGAAATTGAAATTGTGAAGGAATCTTATAAGGAAATTTCCAAAGCTTGTCACCACTTTGTAAACAAGTTTAATTGCTTTTTTACTTTGGAGTAAAGGTCGCAAAGTGCTTGCAGAAAAAGAATAGAAATCGAAAGAATCGGACAGCTTCCACCTAAAGCGGCACCGATAGTGAAACCCATCATTGCTCACCTCGAATCCCGTTACGTACACTCACGCTTTCTCATCTCAAGTGCTACCGGGCGGCCACGGAAGGTTCAAATGGCCATCCACTTCCGCTTGTCTAACACGGTCGTCGCATAACGGGACCAGTAGCGCCCTTGAATGTACAATAGGCTTCGCAGCTGCCCGAACGCTGAGACATCTTCCGAAGAACTTTCTTTAATAGCTGTCATCACTATCTCATCAACGTTATACCCCGATTGGATCCGTTCCAACCCTGTCCACTTGCCATCAATATATGTAAATCGCTAGGAAATTTAGGCGTGTACAGCATTGGCCCCATTCGCAGCAGTTACCGACTGAACGAACGGCCAACGAACGACGATAGCGAAGACGACGACGACGACGACGATGGCGTTACGTGGTGGTGGTGATAAATGTGTGGGTGATTTATCAAACAGCGGTCGATGCACTTCGAAATCTGATACGGTAATGTGGTTAACGCGATCGCCATCGCCGTCATGAAAGCGGACTCAACAGGGCAGGGAATTCAAGAAATGGCACGTTATCGATTTGATGAACCCCCAGATGGGCATGTTATCAGTAACATCCGGGACGAAAATATATGATAACGAAAAGGTATATGACGAGAGACAGGACCTGTCTAATAAGCTACACGACTGGGATTAGTGAGTCATCCAACAAGCAACTGATAGCAGACGAGGTCTTCTTCCAGAGCACAATGTTGCCATGTAGTGACAACATCAGGAGGAGAGCTAGCAAAGAAGGATAGAAAAAAGTATTACAAAAAAGGTATCCGAAGATTCTGAGTCATCTCAAGTATTTTTTTCGAAAATAAGAAAAATAGCTAAGCAGCTATGTTTGTGCCTCTTATTTAGTGCTGTCACATGCTCCGAAAACGTTTACAACAAGCTGAGTCGTGAATAAGTCGACTGAAGTAAGTGATGAAAGTATAAAAAAAANAAAAAAAACAACAAAAATTAGCCAGTCAACAAAATCATGTGGGATTGTCAGCGTTTGAAGTTTTTTAAAACAAAGAGTTTCCAAGAAGGTACCGACAAAAATAATTTCCAAGATAAAAGTCATAATTTGCTGCAGTCACCGCCATGCATTCGATTATAACCTGGAGTTGAGAAAGTGATTCATTCGATTATAACCTGGAGTTGAGAAATTGATTGGATGGGGCAGATTCTTTTTGGGTGTAGATAAATGTTTATTCGCCCTCAAGATATCTTTCATATGGAACATTTCCAGTTAGTTCGAAACCAAACCTTCCAAATCGGTCCGATTATAGACTCTATGCCTTATGGTGTATGACGTTGAGAGGGATGCAACGGAAGGCTAAATTCGTTTCTACCTTGACTGAAAAAGCCCACCGTTTGCTTTATTCACTTTCTAAAAGGAGAATTTCAATTGATCGGAGCACTGCGAAATATGAATTTTTGTCCATTATGATGAAAAAAACCAAATTTCCTACTCTATCAAAGAATCCAAGGAAAAAGCAGTAAAAATCC